TGTGGAGTAAAGCAAAGTTTGACATTTAGGCAGGAAAAATCTAAGATATAACTACAGATTAGGTGAAACCTGGCTCAAAAACAGTAACTGCGAGAGGGACCTTGGAGTCCTAGTGAATGATCACTTGATTATGAGCTAGCAATGTGCAGCAGCTATTCTGCCTCCAAGGAACTTTTAAACAAAAGAATCAAGCAAACCCAATTTTCTCTAACTTATCAAATAAACAGGCAAGATACCAAACTCACTTCAAAGAAGGAAATTGATAAGGAAGACTATTCATGGATACCAGAGGTACTACTAAAAAGGATTCGTGCATTGTACTTACTAATCTAATTATTTCCAAGCAACACTGCAAAAGTTTAGGTGTTAAAGGTTAACAGAAATATTTCAAACTAAATTCAAAAATTCACAGGGAATTACAGGTAATTCTCGACTTACGACCACAATTGAGCTGAAAATTTCTCTTATTAAGTGAGACATTTGTTTTGTGAATTTTTCCTCAATCAGCTAGCATTGCTATACGTATCTTGCCATCTATTAAATATTCTAAGATGTCTTTAAATGGAGACTCACACAGCAACATCACAGTAGTACAGCCATGTGCCAAATATTCAATGAGCCAAATATTCAATGCGAACTTTGTCACCTAACTCCAAATGACTCTGGATGACTCACAACACACAGAAAGCATTAAAAAAATAATAGGAAACAACAAACAACCCATGAATAACTTAGGCTCATTTAGGCTTCCAAGAGGAATTGGAAGATTGCTTGCAAGTTTCTCTACACATAGAATCTTCATAACATATCCATTAAGGCTCAGTTTGGTTACCTTCATTCTTCCCAAAACGTATGTGTCTTGAAAAAAAATGTTATAAAAAGAAGTTAAAACAGAAACCTATTCATTTCCTTTGATGGGTAAACCAAAACACTAATCAGAATCCTGTGTTATACTTCTAGGAAATCTAAGTTTCTTAGAATGCTAGTGTAGTTCAGAGTATTTATAGGTATATCCGTTCTCTCTCTCTCTCTCTCTCTTTCCACACACACATACATATGTAGTTGGTTTTTTTTAAATAAAGTCTCATGCCCTGAACATGCGTATGCAGCTATTATTCAACAGTGCAGGCGCTCTACAGTTTTTAATCAAGTCAAAAGATGAACTGGGCAATCTACAGTATGGATCTGTACATTCTCCTGATGTATTAGGATACTGGCAAGCTGAAACCTGCCAGGACCAGACTCTGGGCTTGATTAAGCAAACAGTGTTAGCATGTCTTTAAATGAATAATGGGCATTCTTTTAGTTGATTCCACTTAACATTTGGAGGGAGATTCAATCAGAAAATCAGTAGATAGACTCATTCTTTCCAATGGCAGGACCATGCTACACATCCATTCAGGATTTGTGATTTATTTAGTTTTCAGGAAATCAGGATGCTTCTCTCCAGATTATTTCAGGTAATCTGGAGCATTTCCCACCTTAAATTGGCAAAAAACATGCTAGGGTTTTTTCAAAACTGTTGTTGGAAGACGTTAATATGTTACTACAGGCCTTATATTCATACTAGCTTTAGTTGATGCAAAGATTCACCAGTTTAGATCGGTTATCAGATCAAAAAGGCAGCACAGGTATTAACAATAAATTTGATGCCATAAAGGAAGAGTTGTTTTTACATTGCTTAGAAAATAAACTGAGTTACATTTGAGAAACAAGAGGGATCTTGATAAAAAGGAAAGAATAATTACTTCAAAATTTATATTCCTTGGAATTGTTTCTGAATAGGATATGTTCAGTATGTTAAGAATTATGTACGAGATTGCTCTTGTAACATCATACTTCACAAGAGAGGGCAGATTTATACAAGAATGTCTCAATTTAAAGGTAAGCTACAAGCCCTACCTCAATCCTTGATTCTAGCCAAATTATAATTCTTCCATATAAAAGGTAATTAACATTCACGCTATGACTAAACTATAATAAAGTTATTTTAAATGACTTTAAATTGATGCATGAAACCAGCATGCAGCAAACTTCCCTATAACTCAAATCCAAAGAAACAGCTTTTCTGAAATACCTTCTATATAATTCTTGTTTTCTGTCTCTAGAATTCTAAGAGTTCAGCCACTGCTTCTGAAATAAACAACAGTTCATTAATGTCTGATTGAAACTGGTTATAATTTATTTCTGAAAACTTCCTTCATTTCAAAGTTGAAAGTCAAAGATGAATGCAAAGTGCCAGTGAATATTTAAGGTAAAAAGTACCTTTATGTTTTTAGTTCTCATATCCGAGGGCACTGCATCTAGCTAAAGGACAACAAGATAAGAATGATATTGCTAGTTACTAACACGTACCAGATAAAATAACTTTTATGCTACCAATTAATTGACAACATTCTATACATTCCTCAAAGTCAAGAAAATTTTGGCTAAAAAAGGTAGCTACATATGAATTTTCACGAAACAAATTCAAACAAATTTGTATTTTCAAATTCCTTCATAGGGATGAGACCTTTTTTCCTTCCACCTCTTTTACTATAACAGAAATGATCTTTGGAATCCAGAAAGTAAACTCATGTGCTTATAGCTGTTTGCGTTAAAACATGTATCCTTGTATGCTGGCAGGACAGAGAAGTTCTGTAGAAGACTATGGCTGGGAGCCAATGTTTACAATCCTCTTGGTGGGAAATGCAGGGTGAAAGGCTCTTAATGGAGGCCCTGCAAGCCTTTGCTGTTGCCGCCACTGACCTTCTTCCTCAGTTTCAAAGCAATTCTCCAGTTAACCCCTTGGAAAGTGCTGGCACAAGTAACTGAAGAAGGAAATACCTTTCTTTGGAAACCTAGTTGTCCCTTTCCAGGCACAACCTGTCAGATTGTAGCAGAGAGGGAACATTGAGCTTAGAATACACGTCAAATCCCTTGTCAGAGTCACTGCAAAAAGCCCCTCTTGTCCCCAAAAGCTAATTTATCTAGATGTCAGCATCTCACGAGATATCCTGCAAAGTACTGTATACAGCTCCCAGCTGTAACAATGGACTTCAGTTTGCAAGGACTATGAAGTGGCAAACTGAGTCTGCAGGAGAGAAAGTACCATTCCATATATGAAGAAAACGGGGGGGGGGGTGGCTACCAAATCAGCATTGTTTGAGTTGAGAGCTGTGATTCCTCCTCCTGGTATAGTCTTATCAAAAGAATCACACTGGCTGGCATCAAGAGATGTTCAGTGCACAGTAAACTTAGCTATATTTCAAAGATTTTCAGTTTCTTTTCTTTTTAGAGAATTGTTAGTGATTGATGTTTTTTCCAAATTTCAAGAAATTTGTATTCAAGAATAGATTTGTCATGTTTTCCATGGCTTTTCCAAAAGGAAATTTCTTCCTACATGTTGCTTTGGCGTCCACCCAGCTCCAGCCATCTTCATGGAAAGTTCCTATGCTTTAAAAGCTACCTGCCACATTATCTTTTAACAAGTAGTCCATTATTTAATGATATGCCAACTGAAACTACATTTATGAAATACACTGTAAGATAGATGAACTTGTACCAGAAAATGTTTTCACTCTGCCTGGTTCCTTCTTCTACCATGCATTCTCTACAACAATGTTATCATATTTCACAGACTTTTTTTTTTTGCTAGTCACACTGATTTTGTTTTTGATCCAGACAGCACACAAATATTACAAATAAATGAGATTTACAAAGAGGCCAACATTTAAGCATTTGTAAATCTGCATCTCCAAATAAGATAGAACATTGTTTTGAACCTCTGGGCTTAGGTACCTCTGTTTCCAATGAATAAATAATATATTATTGACAAATATCAAACAAAATGTTAATTTCTGCCTTTGATCAGCATAATTAAAATGTTCTATTGAATTCAGCATTGCTTATATCTAGAGAGTCAAATATAATCTTTGCATATCTATTGAAAGTATTAAGGATTAAAACTGGAATTATTAAAACTGTTCTCCATAGCTGAGTAGTTACTGATTCACTGAGATATGATCTTTAACTTCTTTTTTATGGTCAACATTGGTTTAGAACAGTGTTTCTCAAACTTAGCAACTTTAAGATGTCTTAACTTCAACTCCCACGCTTGCTGGGGAATTCTGGAAGCTGAAATTCATACTTCATAAAGTTGTTGAGTTTCATAAACACTAATCTAACGTATCCCTTCGCTCCTAGTGTCAGCTTATTATTAAAAGCCATATATTCCTGGATACTACTGAAGTTGGCAATCTTACATGTACTTCAAACAAGGGCTTGTTAAATCTTCCCCATTTTAGAGATAATCCAATCCAGATTAAACTTTCAGTTTTGTTTTCCTCTATCTAAACTTGCAGTTTAAATAGCTATGCAGTACTTCAGATTTGTTTTGTGATGCGTTATGAGCCTGTTTTTCCACAATAGGAAATACTATTAGCCTTGCTTTTTGTGTTTGCTCAGGGTACATGATTGTGTTCTTGTATGTGCATGTGTATTAATAATCACTCAGCATACTGTAAAATTTTCATTTGACAAAGCCTCAATTGCTTAACCATGAAGAATGGACAAAATAGAAAAACTGTATCAGAGTTCTCTATTATAGTATTTCCTATTTATACCCCAAGCAACTATATCACCATCACAGTCTTTTTATTACATCAGCAAAATCTAACTTATTTTGCTTCATTGATGAGTTTAAAAAGGAGTAGTATTCATTTCATCTAGGAATCCCCTAAAGGCAGCTGTTGCTGGGGAGTCTTGCATTTTTTGCATTTTTCTTCCTTAATATTATGCAGCTACAAAACAGCACAAGCAACATCAAGTATCATTTTACCCAATTTTGCATGCATTGTACCATTTTATTTATTACAACATAACCAACACACATACACACATGTGTACATATACTGATCCTCTCCATACTCTGCATATAGTTAACATTGTATAACTGGAGCCAAAATATACACAGCTAAAAGGAATGTTACAGGGGGCCTCTCTTACTGAACAAAGCAGGCTCAGTTTGGCTCTTTTTCTCTAGCACTACCACATCCGCACATCATTAGCTGGAAAATTCCAGATATATGCTGTAATTTTTGAGCTCCCCCCCCCCTCCAGATGCCATTCCCCTTCTCTTCTCTCCCTTCCCTTTCCTTATCTGTCGCTGCTTCTTTGGTTCTTTGCCAGCTGTGATCAACAATTAATACAACCAAAGGAGGGGGAAGAAAGTAGAGAACACTCCCTGGCAACTGGCACAGCCTCACAGGAAATACCAAATAAAAACTTTATTATGTATTGTTTAACTATTTTGTTTGCCTGTAGGCCACCCTGCTATTGGTGTAATTCAGCAAGACACGGTCTGTCTGGACGAGCTGCGCACAGACTCATTGTTTGCAGGATCTATCATGCACAATCCTTTAGTAGAGCATGTGGCCCCACTAAAGAAAGAGGCGTGGTAGGCCAGGGTTCCTTTTCATTACCCAGCTAGTGACCAAATGTTAAAACGGGTGAGTAACCTTTTAATATTCATGTCATTAATTTACCTTTCCCCTTTAATGATGGAGATCCTCATAAAAAGACACAGGAAAAGCCCAAGTAGCCAAGGACTAAAAAAAAAAAAAAAAGAGCTCTCCCCCTCCTCTCCTGCTCTCCCATCTGCTTGCTCTTGGGGATGTGGAAATTACCAAGATAACTATTATGCATGGCTGTAAGCTGAACAGTAGAGTGAATTCCAAGCCTTAGAACTATGTCTATGGCATAGACCTGAATGTATTAATTAGTCTGGTATTTTAAACAGATGTCTTTTTGTCATGTCCCAAAAATAATAGCAATAGAAGATTAAAATTATTTTCATCAACATGCCATTACAACAAATAAGCTTCCTCATCTTAATCAACTGACTAATCAATAGCTGCATTCAGCTATTCTTTCAGATTCGAAAATGCAAGAGACTTGCTTTTTTCTTGGAAGCAATCTCTGGCCAATATCTAATTCAGTTAACATGACAATCTCTACACTTGAGTAAGTGAAATAATTTTTAGGGTCTCCACTGTTGAGCATTGGAATATGGCCAACATTACAGAACAGCATAAATGTCCTTATATTCTTCATCTTAATCTGCAAGGCCACAAGGCCTCTGTCCCCTACATTCTCAAAGGAACATTTACTGATCTATTTGTTAGAAAATATGAGAAACACAACAATATTAATTTATAGCTTTGCAATATCTATTCAATCACATGGCTTTAAAAATCTTCCTACCTCAGTTTGCTACTAAATTTGTGCAATAGCCAAAAAATATTAATTACTTTTCAATAAGTAAATGCTTTCCATTTAATAATAGGAACATACTATTACAGTATAATGATGGCAGTAACTTACAAAATGTAGTAAATAAAATTATAAGATTCCCCCCCCCCTTAATTCTCTATTTCAGCAATAGAGAGAGCCAAAAAGGGCCAGTTTGCTTTAGTGATTAAGGCACCTGACTACAAACCTGGAAACAATGAATTCTAGGCCTACTTTAGTCATATAAACTGGCTGGGAGGTTGTGGGCCAGTCATTCTCTCTCAGCCGAACTCATATCACAGGTTTATTGTTGTGGGAAAAATAGGTCGAAGAGATGTTTAGCTCATACCTTCAATTATTTATACAAATAATAAAAGCGGAATAAAAAAATCTATTTTTTCCCCTAAAAGATGGGGAGGGGGGAGGAACAGTGAGGAAGGGAAGGAGAAAACACCAAAGGGAGATTTTTGATGCTCCCTGCCAGCTTCCTAATAGAAAATTCAACAGGGAAGTTGGACAGAAAGTCCTTCCTGTCTCACTACTTTTTTGCCCAGCCATGATCATTCAGTTTGTTTAGGTAAGAAAATATCTCCTAAACGTGACACAACGGGGCATGGGTTTCTAATAAATGTTAAAGCTCCACCTGAGCATGTAGCACATTGTTTTCGAATACAGGGAACAGTGAATCATAATAGAACAATTCATATTTTGAAGATAATTCTGGGTGTCAACCTATAAAAACTCAATGTCTTTTAAAAATATCAGAAACAAGAATTGAAACAAACTCCTTTTTATTACAATCCATATCTATTACATCTTGTTATTTTTAATAAGCTTTCCAGAGGTATTATAAGATTGGGTGGCTATAAATTTCTAAATAAATAATGAACAAATCTGTATTATTAGAAAAATATCTATTATTAGAAAAAATTCTCTAAAGAAAGGCTTCCCATTCTTCCCTTGTCTTGTACACATACACACTGCAGAAAAAGGGTGGGATGCAAAAGCAAAAGGTATGGACAAAATTCCATATCATTTTTTTTTCTCCCCCAGAAGTTCCCACTTGTTTTTAACTATTAGGAATGTCTTGTAACTAGGTTTAAAAAACTAAAACAGAAATATTCCTTGTTGGACACCCACCTTTTAGAACAAAGTACATCATTTGTGTCATTAATTGTTAATCTGAGCTATTATATTTCACATATTCACTGGGAAAGAATTTCAACTATGCAGTACAAAAAGAATTAGTGATCTAAAGAAAATGGGCACTTTATGAACAATTAGAAGACTCACAATTTTAAATATCGCATCTCCCATATTTAAGCTAAGAGAACAATGTCTCGACAATACTCAGGAGATATTTCAACAAAATTAGTATTTCTTTCTTTGCTTCTCATGCCAGTTATTACTCAGTTTTGTTTTAACAAAAATTTTAATTTTTCTTCTCTTTCAAGATGGTGAACTCTTAGCACACAAAACAGAAATGCATTTTATACTGACAAAGTAGTACTGGAATATTATGTACAAACACTGAAGTATTGCACCAATGTTTTGCAAGGTGTTGGATTATCTCTTATCAACTCAACAGGCAAGATTACAGCATTCTGGCTGAGAAGAACAGTGATTTTAGCCTAAATTGTTTAGAAGACACTATAATAACAAGATGACAACAGTCAGTCTTGCCTGATCACAGAAAAGCTAAGCAGGGAATAAACAAATACCACGAAATACATGGTTAAAAAACTAAGTTAGGAAAAGAAATAAAATAAAATAAAATTAACAGGAATCAAGCTTGACTCAAGAAAATCTTTTATATTGTCAAAGCTCACTATGAGAGTATCTGAATGCAAATTCTAGTGATTTAATTAATTAATTAAATCAATTACCCTTATTTAATTTTTTTTCATTTTTATTAATTATTATTATCCATTATTTATTTATTTATTTATGGTTGTCCATTTCACAGAAAGTGACTCTGGATGGTATAGAGCAGAGGTCCCCAACCCCAGGTCCATGGACCGGCACCAGTCTGAGGCATGTCAAAACCGGACTGCGCAAACAAGCGAAGCCCCATCCGTGGGATGCAGACAGCACATGAAACCATGCCCCTTCCAGCCTGCAGAAAAACTTCTTTCCACGGAACCGGTCCCTGGTGCCCCAAAGGTTGGGGGGCGCTGGTATAGAGCAAAAAATATGAAAACAATAAACAGGTCAAAAGCAAACAAATTTAAAGTAAAAAGAGCATAAAATACATAGGATCCCTTGAGGTCCTTAAATCAGGTGACTTAGCCAGGTTCTGAGGGACTTCCAGAAAATAAGTAGGGATGGAAATCACTTCATTTCAGGGCAGGAAAGGAGAATGTTCCATAAGGCAGGCGTCATGGAAGAGATGGCCCAATATAATTCCCTGACAAATGGACCTATAGCATGTCTTTCTTGCCAGATCTGATGGAATGGGCAGATGGAAATTAGAAGAGGTTATCTCTAAAAATAACTTGGTTCCATGCCACAAAGGCTTTAAAGGTTTAAACCAGCATCCTGAACTGGACCTGGAAACAAACTGCCAGCCAATGCATCTTACAGAACAGAGGTATAACATATTATAGAAGCACACATAAATGCTCATGCTGCTGAATATTGCACCAGCTGAAGCTTCCTGATACTCTTCAAGGGTAGTCCCATGTTACAGCAATCCAAACAGGAGGTGACTAAGCCATGACTGATTGTACACAGAGCCGCTTATTCCAGAAATGAGTGCAACTCATGCACAATACAAAGCTGTGCAAAGTCATTCTTAACCATAATCACCACCTGTTCTCATGAGGAATCACGAGGCTAGAGCACCCCCAGATTGTGCACCAGTGCTATCTTGGACCATACAACCTTATCCAGTACCAAAGATGGCATCATTAAATAATTATATGCTAATCCATCAGTTATTTCCCTGATGTAGAAAAATAATTTTACTGTCAGATCTGCCATCATATCACTTCAGCCCTGCTTTGCTTTGATGGCATTCTGCCATAAAGGGAGGGAGGAGTAAAGGGATATAAGGAGGGGGGAATACCAGTATAACAGGAACCAGAGTTGCTAGCCCAGAACAGAGCTTGGCAGATCCAAGGACACAAGCATGAGAATGGAATGCAAACCTCCACCAAAGAGGTACCAAACTTTAGGACTGTTACCAAAATACCTAGTTTGAATACCATTGGACTGGCCCGGGAGAAAGGAAAAGCACTGGTTTATATGGGAATATTCATATCTGGTTTTGCTTACGCTGTAACCACTTGGCTTTAGTAAAAGTATACCTTTTGTTACAAATAGAGTCAAAGGTCTTTCTTTCCTAAATGCCCAAGCTGGGACAGGCCTGACATTTACATAGTAGTTAATTTAATCAAGAAAATAATATACCTGAAATATTCTAGAGTTCAACAACAAGCACTGAAGCACAGTATAAAGCTATTGCATTATAAGCAAACTACTAATTAGCTGGGAAGGAAGAGTTTGTTCCTTGGATTTAGTCTAAGCACCCTCTTCACAAACCATTGTTTTTGTTTTCCACCATTCCTGACTTAAATTAAAAGAAACTAAATAAATCAATTATAAGCATATCAATAGATTTCTTGTCTTCTATATTACTATCAAATTAGTATTATTATATAATCTGCTATAAACTATTCAGCATGCAAAACTTTTTATATTTTTAATTAGTTTATCAACAAGAGATATACTACTGTTTTCTAAAACAGTCCTTTTAATCTGGTGCTCTTCAGATAAGTGGTCCTCTCAGAATTTCTACTTAGCAGCAGTTTACTAAATAAAGATAATTCACAAAGCTCAGAAAAGGTTCAGATGTTTACCTTGCTTATAAAATTAGGAAGGGGTGCATGCATTAATAATAGGTATCTCCTTTATATTCTTATATCTTTATTTAAACTTGGCTTACAATAAATAACATTTTATTTTTCTCTTTCACTTATCTGTAACCATTTATTTCAATGCCCAGCTTTTCTTGTTGGATATTAACTAGTTTTTTAATGTAAAATGGATTTTACATATAATTACTTATCAAAATGCTTTTATTATGTTTCATATTCCAATTGCTTATGGAGTTTCCTTCAAGGTAATTATTTTGTACAACTGATTTCTACAAGATTCTGGATAGTATCTTACACTCAGTAGTCTTGGGATGTCTTGGTGCTCCAAATAGGAATGAAACTGGGCCTTCAAAATACACATTTAAACTTTTATTATTTGGCAAGGGTTAATGTGGGTTAATATATTTTAAATATGTACTGTGATTAGTATAGGTGCGGAAAATTCCTCATTAGAAGTATTTACTTCATTACAGGAGACATGATGGCATAGTGGTTAGAATACAGTATTGCAGGCTAATTCTGCCAACAGCTTGCAGTTTAATCCTCACAGGCTCAAGGTTGACTCAGCCTTCCATTCTTCCGAAATCAATAAATTGAGGACCCAGATTGTTGGGGGCAATATGCTGACATTGTAGATCACTTAGAGAGTGTTGTAAAGTGCTATGAAGCAGTATATACCGTATTTTCCGGTGTATAAGACGACTCGGCGTATAAGACGACCCCCGACTTCGGAGAAGATTTGCAGGGTTTAGGAAGTCGTCTATACGCTGGAAAATACGGTAATCCTAATGCTATTGTTATCATACTGTATTTAAATTATAAAATAATTTATAAAAATAAATTATAAAAATATTTTTTAAAAATATATAAAATATTTTAATATAAATTATAAATGTTAAATGATAGAGGAGTCCTCTTTAAGCTGCTGCTGTTCAGAAATATTAGGATTACACTTCCCCAAGTGCCTAGCTACAACATCTGCCATGCTGGCTGTAGGTTGGGAAGTTGTAAAAAAAATCCCAACATTTCAGGATCACATCAAATTATAGAAGACAGAAATTTGAAATACTTTGGGGGACCGAAAACTATTTAGAATCACTGGTAACTTCTTTCCTTCCAAAGTGAATAAGAATGGGGAGATGGGAAAGACAACAACAAATTAATCAGTGTTCCAATGTTGTATCACAGCTCTATTCCTTCTCCTATCTAACTCTGCTGGGTCTCCCAAGTCCCCAAAGAAATTAACTAATCTTGTGTGTTTCTTAAGAATGGCTAGTATTTTAGGACAAAATTATTCATTTTCATTAACACTTATAATAATATTAAACATTAATTATTCTTAGCACTGTCTGGATATAGGTATTTTTAGACAAAATTACCTTGTTCTAAATATAATACTAATATGTCACATTGCCTCCAAAAGAAAATTTAAAATTACAATGCATGCAAGGATTCTTTAAAGTTCCTGCTCCTTACCCAAATTCAAATAGCAGTAATTGAAAACTGAGCTTTCTTTCACAGTCTAGTAAAAACTAGCTTTCTGTAACTGGGATATGTACGGACTTTGGTCCATTTAACAAGGTCAGACTGTTTATTCTTGACCAAATTCTTTCCCACTGTAAAAAGGTACTTTGAAATGCCACATTCCACAGGCAGCGCCAGTAAGTCACTGAAGCATATTTTCCCACAAGAACTGATACGATAGGGAGGCCTTATTTAAAATTTCTGCTGCTTCAGTGATTTGAGGTAGAGAAAACATATAGTGTCACAAATAGTTGAAAGTATCCATGCCTCTGTTGCATTAAGTTTTTCAAATGGTGTACTCCTTAGTGAATGAAATGGAATGCCAATACAACAAATAAAAGAAAATTTCAATAAAAGACTAAAATGCAAATAAACTGAGTATTTACACACTGCAGCATATATGTCATTCAGCAGTATAAGATTGATTACTAATCCTTTATTTGATATATTTTAATTACAGTACCTTTTCAATGTTTAGGGTGTTTTAAATTTGAAAGTTTTAATATGAGTAAACCAATATAGGAAAAGTGTTTTTATTTTTTTCAATTCTTATCCAAATAAATATGTCTACATAAATATGCTATATGATAGAAGCCCATAGCAAGCCCAAAACAGGGATGAAAAGCCAGCCATAGGAGGAGGGGATTTTTAGCCATATGAAACAATCTGAACACATTTTATAGCAATACATTACATTTGTATTAAATCAGTATTTTTGGCATTGCATTGCATATTAAGCTTGTATCAATTGGATGCATTAACTTATTTTGAAGTTGCACTGAAATCTTTGTACATAAAAGCAAACAATAACTCAGCTTTCAAAAATGACACTGAATAGCTATGAGCTTTTGATGGCAATGTGACTGCCTCTGAAGACTATCTGCTGGGAGATTTCTGTGCTTCCTTGTACAGTTATTTGCCCATTGTGAAAACAGACTGTTGAACTACATGAAACGTACTAGTACCGCTCTCCTACCTGCTTAATCTTTTTCTCCAAAGGCAAAATTAAATGATATTAAAATGTTACTAACCTTCTTGCCACTAATATTTATTTATTTACTTACCTATTTCCCCCTTTCCCTACCCTAATGCATCCCTAGAAATCTGGATACCTACTTAAATAGAATACCTACTCAAGGATGTAATGACAAAACACATATTATTATCTAAGTGGGTAATATGAAATGTTTGTAAGTGAACAACCAAGCTCAAAGAACACCAAGAATTCACAACTATGAACTAAATGTATTTTCTTCCATATACCCTTGAGGGTCTCCAATATTTATTCACCTCCACTGAAAATGTTGCCCATATATTCATACTCTTTATTAATGATTTGGCAATTGTATGAGGGCAAGTACTCTTATCTTATGACTGCAAGAATCTTTGCTGAAGAATTCTGTCAAAGGCTGTTTGAAACTCCAAACATACTATGTTGAGAGATCATTTGCTTAATAATAATAATAATAATAATAATAATAATAATAATAATAATAATAATAATAATAATCCCCCAGTGAGGCACTACCTTGACGTGGTTGTGGGGCTTGTGTACTCTGAGGAAGATGAGAGCTATGCCAGAGGTTCAACCATACTGGACAGGTCTCATCAGAGGAGTCAGACAAAGAGTGTCTCTCCCATAAAAAATATGGTGAGACGTAAATTTCAGAATGCCATACCGGCTCGGACGTCGCCCGGGTTAACAAGGTCCGCGCTAGATATCGGAGTTCCTGGATATCTGGTGAAAAATGGGTTACAGGACTCAGGACTGTTGGCTGAGCAACCAGGGCCAGCAGCTGCAGAACTACTGGAAGAAAAGATGTTTACCCGTCGCAGATACACAGTGATTGAAAACAAAGAAATAATGATCTGTTACTACTGATCAAGTCCAACAAGAAGAGGATATCTAAAACGAATGCACCAGTTGTGGAAAGAACAACATCCAGAATCAGAAATAACAGAACAGAGACTAGCAGATCAACGCCGATTTATAACACGAAATAAAGTATTCACAGAAACAGAATTGGACGAACTGCAAAGGTTTACCCAGGGCAAAGAAATCAAAGCCTTACCAGAAGTAATTCAGAATGTAGAGGCAAACCAGGGGGAGTTGGCAGTGAAGGAATCCAGCAGAGATATACAACTGTTCTCATTTGGAAACCAGGCACCTCTTGCTCAGGAAGAACAAAACCCTCTAACTAAAGAAATAAAAGAATTGAAACAAAGAATAGCTGAGCATCTAGAACAGCACAAAAACAACAGAATAAAGCTACCTGCATTGAAGCTTGTTCCAAAGAAACAGCTAGCACAAGCATTAAAAGATGCAAATACTGCAATATCAAGTATAAGCACCAATTCACTGCAAGAAACAAACCAACTAATGTACAGCACAGCTGCAGTTATAACAGAATACCTGGGATGCAAAATCAACAAAAAAGAAAAACAAACAGTGCACCAGAAAAATGGAAGGTTAGACTAGAAAATAAGATCAGCAAGTTAAGATCACATGCAAGCAAGCTAGAACAGATGAAAGAAAAGAAGCTGAAGAACAAGAAGACCAAAGAATACCTAATCAAGAAATACCACTTAGAAACAAGGAAGATCAAGGAAGCACTGGAAATAATAAAGCAACAAATAACAGCTATAGCCAGGAAAATCAGTAGATATGAAGCTCGAATTGCAAACTATAGGCAGAACCTCCAATTTCAATCCAATCAGAAACGTTTCTACCAATCCATCAATGGAGAAACTGCAAGGAAT